GCGCTGCTCTGCCGGCGACAACACCCTGCTACCATAGGCGACCACCCGTTCGACCCCTCTAACGACTTGGGACAGCACTCCCCCAATGCCCGTGTTGCTAGCATCCGTGTCTAGCAAGAAGGGACTCTCAAAGTCTGGATAGCACAAGGGTGGGGCCCTTACCAAGGCGTCCCGGAGGGAGCAGAATGCAGCCTCCTCCTCCGGTCCCCACCGGAACTTCACTCCTTTTGCCGTTAGAGCGTGCAAGGGCTTTGCAATGGTGGCGAAGTGCTCAACGAATCGGCGATAATACGAAGCAAAACCGATGAAACTGCGCACGTCTGACACTGACGTGGGCGTCGGCCACGAACTGACACAGTCCGTCTTCGCAGGATCGGTAGAAATCCCCGAAGAGTCGACAATGTGACCCAAGTACCTCACGGATTTACGAAAAAGATGGCATTTGGCCGGTTTAAACTTTAATTTAGCCGATCGCATTCGCAAGAACACCCCTCTCAATCGCTGGAGGTGTTCTTAGAACGTTTTACCGAAAACAATGACATCGTCAAGGTAAATGAGGCACGTCTCCCACTGCAAGCCCGACAAAACCAATTCCATAAGACGCTGAAACGTCGCAGGAGAGGAGTGAAGTCCCATGGGTAACCGGTTAAATTGAAACAGGCCCCCTGGAGTCCGGAATGCAGTCTTAGGCTTAGACTCCTTGTCGAGTGGCAACTGCCAAAATCCGGACAATAAATCAAGAGTCGAAAAGTATCGCGCACCGGACAATGCGTCGAGAGACTCGTCCATCCTGGGGAGCGGATACGCGTCGGCCACCGAGATCTTATTCAGGCGGCGGAAATCGACGCAAAATCGCAGGGACCCGTCCTGCTTTTTAACGAGCACAATAGGTGCTCCCCAAGGACTGGAAGAAGGCGAAATAATGTCGGCTTCCAGCATATCGTTAACTGCCGACTGAACATGTTCCTTCTCAGCAGGACTCAGTCGGAAGGGATTTTGCCTGACCGGTGCCGCATCGCCCGTTTCAATGTGGTGGCGTAGCAGGTCCGTGCATCCGATATCATACTTATGTTTACTGAAGACATCCGAAAATTCAATCAGCAACCCGCGCAACGCACCCAACTGTAGCGCTGACAAATCGTCAGAGTCCGCGCACAGCATATCAATCCAATCTAGGTCCTCCTTTGATGGTACGCTATTCGTGGGGCTCGGATCAGCCTGCGCAACCAGCCTCTCCTCCGCAGGGACCCGTGCCGCGTGAGCCAGCACGGTGCCCTGCTGAATGACGGCCGGCCGCGCCCCAGCGTTTAAAACCATGACAAACGGATCCCTGTCTGCCCCAACCAAAGTGTGAGCCACCGATAAATCGAGACCTCCAACAGCCCTATTAGAAGGACCCAAAAGCATGGCCTGTTCCGAGGCCTCCTTCCCCCATGGCTTCCGTAACCGGAGGGGAATCAACATTTGTGAACCCGGGGGCACGTGCACGGTCTGTGTTGCTAACGCCTGAATGGTAGCGCACGCCGTCCGAATTACATTAGGGCTCGTCAAAAATGAAATACGGCGACCCGATGGTAGTTCAATGCAACGCTGATCAATTAAAATTTTGATGGGCATTTTCGCCAAAAAATCAGTGCCCAATAGGCAAGGAACCGCCAGGGAAGATGAAACGAAAACGGGTCCCGACAATTTGATATCACCAATGCAAATGGACGCCCTAATCTGACCGATAATGCCCAACGATCCCCCGTTTGCGGCGTAAAATGGCACATCCACCGGAAGAAGCGGACGACATTGTACCGGGAGAATATTATAAATGAGATCCGAAATAATAGTCGCCGATGCCCCCGTGTCCACTAACACCCTGACCTCGACCCCATCAATCGATCCGGTAACGACGGATGAACCCGCTGAGGCAGCCACTATTCTGTGCCCCAATTCCGACCATTTAATGTCTCCCCGGTCCCGGCCGAACCCCCCTCTCCGAACCGAATCCCCGAACTCTACTCGGCTCTCCCTCGTCGCAACGCGACGACCCATACGTGTCGAGTATGCGGGCCAAGCATGTGAGGTGCCGCGACTTGCCGGGGTTTGCAGTGATGACTTGGGGCCTTGGTCGTCGTCCAGCCGAGGTCCCATGGCGCGCTGACGTGGGGCGCGGCAACCGGAGGCCACGTGGCCACGAAGGCCGCAGTTATAGCAGGTGATGACAGTAGTCGGAGATCTCGGTTGCTCCAGCTTGCGGGCCGCTCGCAGAGGCGAACGACCCCCCGACCTCCAGTCCCCCGCTCGTCCCGCGATGAACGCGTCCTCTCGTGGGCTGACGACTTGGGGCACGGTGTCAACCGGACCCGGAGTTGAGGCCACGGCAGCGTTGCAGACGACCCCCTGCTTTCGTTGAAGGACCTCGTGCGCTTGCATGCTCGTGGCGACCCGTAATGAAGAAATATCGGTGTCGTCGGCCGTGTTGATGGGGACCCCCAGGTCCTGCGCCAACTTGAGCAGCTGCTCCAAAACCATCGCATCTTGGCCCTCCTCGTCCATACGAGGGAACGCGGCGTCAGCGAGAGCGAGCAACGCCGTGCGGTAGGCGAGCACGGTCTCCGTGTCCGCCTTCCGTCTTGCGTAGAAATGATGGCGGCACGCCGAGGGAGGACCGTAGACTTTGGCCATGAGAGCCAGCGCATCCTTGAGCGTGGAGCGGTCCGACCTGCGTGCGGACGTGAAGGCCGCGAGCGCGTTGTCGTCCAGCATGGCAGGCAGTGCCCGCAGTGCCGTAGCGTCGGACCAGGCGGACATCTCTTGATGCGCCAAAAATCTGCGCTGAAATTGGCTCCAATCCCCGCCTTCCGCCTTGAATGCTGACAACGTGGGAAGGCGCTGCTGAAAGATAAAGTCGTCCTCCTCCTCGTGCTTCCTCTCTGCCCCCCCCGTCGGTGTGTAAGATGGCGGCCCCAGTGGCGGGTGTGTGATGGCGGTCCGCCGCGCGCGTTGGTGACGTCAGCGGCCGCGCATGGAGAACCGCTGCCACGTGGTGATGGCCGTTCCCGCCAAAAGTTGGAGCGGATGAAATGGCGGGAATCGCCAAATCGTTTTGGCGGGAATCTGCAGGGCGATCCTGTAGCACGTCGGCCGCCGTCCCCGCTCCTCCCGACGAGCTGATCTCCGCCAAGATGGACGCGGCGGCGAGCAGCAGCTCCGCCAGACGGGAGTGTGCCTCGCGAAGCACGGTGTCAGTCCCCCGTCGCTCGACCGGCGCCGTCGGTGGATCCTGCCCCGTGGGCAGCTCCTCTTCCTCACCCCCTGATGCCCGCTGGCCCGCGTCGTCGAGGTTGTCCTCGTGGTCAATCCCGTGGGTCCGACGGTTCCTCCTTGTATCCATGCTTGGAGGACCGTTTCACTTCTGACGCCAGTTGAAGTATGGGAATTGACGGCAGGAACTTCTTGACGGGTAACACACTTTTATTAAATCCTTTAGGTATCACAATACACCGTGTGGTCTCTCTTCTTCCTCCGACACACTCCACTAATCTCGTGTAAGCTCTAGGCCTCTGGCTACACCCGATACACTGGACTCGTGTAGACCCTATGCCTCTGGCTACACACAATATACTCGACTCGTGTAAGCCCTATGCCTCTGGCTACACAATACACTCGACTCGTGTAAGCCCTATGCCCTGGCTACACATAGTACATTCGGCTCGTGTAGACCTATGGCTACACCCACTACACTCGCCTCTGGGTTACACAGAGTCCCGGTCCCCTTAGGACAGCGGGGCTAGGTACCGCAGGGCTCTAGGTCTTCATCCCCGTCTTCCTTCTTCGCTGGTTACACACTGCCCTTACGCCTGTGTGCATCCCCTTTTATAGCCCCTGCTCACGAGGGACGGAGCTGATGCGGCGTCGACGTGAGCGTCGTTCCTTAATGACCCAATCACGACGCACTCTCTCTCAGCGCGTCACCGCCCACAGCCAATCGGTACCCCGTAACCCACGACCCCGCGCTGACCCCTGATCCTCCACCGTCAGCGCGCGTCACCACCTACACAGCCAATCATCACGCACTGTGCATACGATCCTTAATCCCAGCGCGTATCACCTCTACAAATGTATGCTTCTCCATTCTCCCATGGGGAAGCAAAATGCTTCTTCATGGAATAAATAAAAGGTGACCTTAGTAAATTTAAATAACAAAATAGTTAATAATGAAAATTAGTGTTGTTATAGCAATTGTATTATTTATATTTATTTAAAGTTGCGCATTTTGATGTGACGTCACATTTCTCTAACCCCCCTCCCCCCTCGTCACACATCGTCACAAATGTCTGATTCCCCTCCCCCCCCAGGTGCGTGACGTCATTTATGGACGGCCCCTATGCATTCACCATCGTCTCTCACGTACGATATACATTTCACACTTTCATAAATCACCGCACGTACACCCCCTCGCCCTCCCGCCCGCCCCCTGGGTGAGAACCCACTGCTCTAGAGCTTGCTCCAGCTTTGCGGGTTGAGCCTTCTGCCAGCAGTGGCGTTTACTAAGCAATTGCAGGGCTGCGCCTTGTACCCCACCTTCGAGTGGGGGAGGGTGGGTGGGGGTCGAGTGGGAGAGGGTGGGGGGGGTCGAGTGAGAGAGGGTGGGGGGGGTCGAGTGGGGGAGGGTGGGGGTCGAGTGGGAGAGGGTGGGGGGGGTCGAGTGGGGGAGGGTGGGTGGGGGGTCGAGTGGGAGAGGGTGGGGGGGGTCGAGTGGGGGAGGGTGGGTGGGGGGTCGAGTGGGGGAGGGTGGGTGGGGGGTCGAGTGGGGGAGGGAGGGTGGGGGTCGAGTGGAGGAGGGTGGGGTGGGGGTCGAGTGGATGAGGGTGGGGGTCGAGTGGGGGAGGGTGGGGTGGGGGTCGAGTGGGTGAGGGTGGGGGTCGAGTGGGGGAGGGAGGGGGGTCGAGTGGGGGAGGGAGGGGGGTCGAGTAGGGGGGGTGGGAGGGGGGTCTCACGTGGTTCTAAAGAAGCCTAAGGACCCTACAGCGCAACTGATAAAGTTTATTCAAAAACGAAACCACGATCCCGCGTTGCGCGGTGTGTGGGGTCCAAATCGCGTTTCGAAGAGCCGAATAAGCACGCATCTTTTGGATCATGAAGCCAAAAGCGAAGAAAACACGGGGGTAAGTCGTTCATAGTCAAGTCTCCTTGATCGTTTTCGTTCCAGTCACCCGAGCAGTCGAAATAATCCCGAGGCCTAAATGGGCACCGGTCTCGGCTACATTCCCTGCGGTTGCTTCCGACTCCTTGCCCGGCCGGATTTTCCAGCCCAGACCGGTGTCGGTCTTCGGAGGCCTACGCATCCATCCCACCAGTGTGTGTTCCCAGAGGTTATCTTGAACACAGTTATTTTGTACGTCTGCTCGGCAAAGAGCCTCGTATTGGTGGTAGGTTTAATACGTGTTGAGTGTGTTTTTGTTGTATTATTGATGCTTTCATATCCCCATGGCATACCTCCACAGTACAGTATTGCCTCCAGTCAATCTCGTGCAATTATAACATCGACTTGGTGCAGCCAAATCAACAGTTATCCGTCCACCTACGTGACTTTACGGAAAGAACCAGATGGTATGTGTTTCTGCAGTCACGAAAGCTTCAAATCATGACCAAATTATCCGTCTGTTGTACCCCGCGTTCGCCGTCCACAAGTGACCGGCGTGGTGAAGTATGGTCACACAACCCACACGGCTTCGTGCGGCGTGGAGGTGGAGGTGCATTCGTCAAGCAATGGGTTGAATAATCGACTGTATGCAAGTCATTTTGCGAAATTAATAACTCGTTTTAAATCCTTTATATTAAGCTCACTTGCTTGCTTGCGCGCTTACGACCGTGCAAATCTTTCGGTCGTTTTTTTAACCCACTTCCCGTGATCCAATCGAGCTGACATTTTGCACACAGACTCGTTGTGCGTGACAATTTATTTTCGTGAAATATTTTTTCCAAAATTTTACACTTTTTAGGATTTTTTTAATATTTAATTACCAATTGCTTAATGGTGGCAGGCAATCATCTGACCCATAGGTGGCAGCCATCTCACGCCAGAGGACGAGATGACTCTAGCCGCCACGCATATAAAGGATTTATAGTGAAAAACTTTGTTTTTACGGGTTAATTTTTTTACCGTGGGTTACCATTAGCAGTTTGGTCAAATTGGCTCCTCTGACCTGTTTATTTTGCTTCATGTGAAATTTGATGTGACTTTTATCCACTGCTGGATGAGGGCCTGGGAGCGGTGGGGGGAGAGGTGGTCGTTGGGGTAGTTTAACCATACTTCACCAAGCTGGTCAATGCGGTTTGGTGAAGGCGCGGGGAGCACAGACGCGGAAGCATAGAAATACAGCACAACCACATAAATTCACTGCCTTCTGCTGCCTACAAAGCAGCGCCACAGCAACCAACAACGCCCGTGTTAACACTATGAGATCTCTTTTACCAGTGGCAAAATATAGTAGTAGGTTTTTACCCTTTTAAACTGGTACAAAACTGACACCTTTATTCAAGGCATCATGTTTGCAATGACCACAACACAAGTAGTCAAAAAAGCAAACAAAAAGAAGCAACTCTGATAATGATAATACTATGCACTGTCCTTGAAGTTGATTGCACTGTGTTTGAGTTGTACGCCTTCTGGTGTCATCTGGTCCAACACCAATGGGGACTAGGCTCTAAAGAAAGCCGTCTCGGGTGTGGGCCAATCAACTTCAAGGACAGTACATATTATTATTATCAGAGTTGCTTCTTTTTGTTTGCTTTTTTGACTACTTGTGTTGTGGTTATTGCAAACATGATGCCTTGAACAAAGGTGTCAGTTTTGTACCAGTTTAAAAGGGTAAAACCCTACTACTATAAACGTCCGTGTTTTTATGTATGGTGGTTGCCATTCCAAACAATGTCCAGGCTCAAAGACTGCTTAGCTTCCGATAACCCTCAAGATCGGGTACATTGCAGGTGATTTGGTCATAGGCACTGCTTCACCAGGGCTTGCAAATTAGAAAAAAAAGATTCTACCCATCCCTAAGTACTTGCTGCTGTAATTACATCTGATCATTACATGCCATGAATTTGCTGAGTCCAATGGTGCAACTGTCGGGTGTGCAGGCGGTGCAACTGCCGGGGGAAGGACTAGGTACCGGGCTGCAAAGTCGATGGGAAGGCAGACATGGAGCCCTATTTTATTTCAGAATCATCAGAATATTTATTGAGACTACAGGAGAAATTTTATTAGCTATGGAGCTTTTTTTCCATAGATTTCCAGAATGGGTGGGTCAGCAAGTACGGCAAACAATACCACAAACTATAAGGGTGCAAAATATAGAAAATGTCAAGCAAATAACAAAAATTTATAATACATTCATTATATAAGTCCGAAGTATCAAGGTTGGGCAAGGCAGCAAAAACAACAAACCAGTCACAAACCACACCAGGATAATGCACAGTACCTAAATAAAATGGCACGTCAACATTTGATTGCACCATGACCTACGACAACCATGCCACTCGATTGGCACAGTGTCTCGTAGCTGGGCCTCGGCGCGCACGTATCCCCGAGTTTATCTCTCGTGTTGTCTTCCCAGGAGCGACGCCGAGAAGACGACCGTGTGTGCGGACGATGGATACGTGGCGGGGCAGCTCTGTGGCGCCGTCTTCCAGCGCAAGTCCGATGGTGGCGGTGGGCCCTCCAAGAAGTCTGGTCTCGCCGCCCTCTTCTCGCAAGGCCCGGCAGCGGCTCCAAGACGCCCGCTCTTCGTTTCGCCCGAAGCGGTTCGGGCTCAAAGAGTACGAGATGGCTTAAGCTAGTGTTTTACAAACTCCAGTCTGTTTTTTTAATTATTATTGGCTAGCAGCCCCGCGCGTCCGGACGTGACTGTCCGTCCCTCCAGCCAACCAACCAGCAGATGTGCGCCGTGACTTCATCACCATGAAATTTCGATTTAAAGCTTTCGTGACTGCAGGGATTCATCTTCTTGGTTCTTTCGGTAAAGTCACGTAGAAGGGAAATAATAAAATAATAATAATAAAATAACAATAAAATTAATACAATCTTTTATTATGTTTTATTTTTATTACTTTATTATTTCCCTTCTACGTGACTTTACCAAAAGAACCAAGAAGATTCATCACCATGCACTTGTGCGCCCACCAGTCAACAAAACGTTTTATAATATAGTATCATGTGATAGCAGTGCCCACGCATTTGCTCGGCCTACTTGGCCAAGGTGGAGGGTTGGTGGGTGGGGAGGCATGACGTCAGGATGCAAAAAACCCGGCTCAACGCTCTGGGAGTGCTGCAGTTGACGTCATCACGCAAATGTGCACGCTGACAACATCACTGCGCACATGCCTACATGCCAGCCAGTCAGCAAAGCTTTTTTCTAACTTCGTATCACACAGGTTTTCATAGTCACTCATAGTATACTGGGTTGGGCTGCGTGTTGGGCATATCTTCTCTCAAGCTTTTATCCCGACACACTACATTGGGCATCTTCTCCTGGACATACCCACACTAGTGCATGGAAAAAGCTTACGAGACTTAAACTAATTATTTGTGATACTGTGCTGACAGTGGTGCAGTTGACAAAAAATCAACACATTCGTCACAAACAAGGCCTTTAAAATGAATTGGGGGATAACGATATGAAATAGGAAACGGTTTGGGCAATGGACCTTTACGTGCTATATAGAAGGGTGATTGTCCGAAACTTTGGCTGTTATTTATTTTAAAAAATTGAGGCAGCGACATTGACTTACCTCTCATTTCATTCGCTAAATAGACTTGTCAAAAGGGACTGGCTGAGGGCAATCTTTTGTAAACCTTGCATGGTGTGAAAGCAGCATCTAGCCTCTCACCTTATCACGTGCTGCTTTCAGATGCGCTTCTGCGGCCGTCTGGAACGCTCTGCCTTTCGATATTAGGAAGCCACTGGAGCTATGCACTTTTAAATCCAGATTGAAAACTAATTTCTTGAACTGCTTTTTTGTGTTTAGTGTATTGTCCTTCCCCCGCACTTCCGATTCATTTCTCACTGAAAATGTTCACGCTCACTAATGGACTGGAGTTAAGTGCGTGACTAGCAGCCGCATCCCATAGCGAGAGGGATACTGGACTATTGGGATGAGGATTAGCACGGTTGGCTACGTACGGTGCGACAGGAGTTTAACATGCGTACAAAGTGCCGTGCGAAACGGGCTCGGCAGATCCCACGCACAGCGAGGCTGGGATGTGTCGCCGCTCACGTCGTAGACACTAGCGGCGCGGGTTTCTTAACTTTGGCTTGTCCCAACAGAAGGCGGATGCGGAGGAAGCGGCTGCCCAAAAGGAGAAGGAGAACTTGGACAAAGTTCAAGCGATGAAGGCTCTCTGGTCGAAGGCACAGGAGGAGAAGAGCAAGGAGAAGGAGGAACGGAGTCGGCTCAAGCACAAGCCCTCCGACGACAACGACGCTTCTAAACTCTTTACGAGGTAGCAGACATTTTCGTTTGAGCTCGTGGGCAGCCCGTGTTATGCATGGCAGTGGTTCTCAACCGGGGCTACGTGGACCCCTGGTGGTACGTGGCAACGTCACGGGAGGTGCATGAGGTGATTTATAAATGTGTGAAATGATATCACACACGAGTCATTGGTGAATAATCACGTATGAATCTGCCAATAGAAAATAACTATGATAACATTTAAATCCATTTGGTAACCTAGAATGATATAAAATATCTTTCTAAATTAAATGATCGTAAACAATGCGGTTTACAAGAGTAACCAGCCAGTACCAATAAATCACGTCATGCATGCAGGGCTTCCGTTGATTCATTTTTTTTATTCACTTGCAGTTACTAGTTACGACACCTCACGAAATGGACAATTGGTTCAAATATTGATGTTCATTATTCGTACATTTATTTCTCACAACCATGTTGGGTCAGGCCAGGGGGATATACTCGGTTGAAAAAAAATAATCCTGCAAGGGGTACAGCAGCCAAAAAAAGGTTGAACCACTGTTGTATGGGATGACGTGACACGTGGCACCCACCGGACCCTTGTCAGACATGAGCACGCACCCTGACGCCACTTTGCAGTCATCGGCTCACCTGACCCTCGCCAGTTCAGCGCAGAGGTCACAAACGGGTTTTGATTTCTTACCCGTACCCGACCGCACCAGGGTCGCAAACGGGTACCCGTACCCGGCTGGGTACGGGTAGGGTATCGGGTACCTGATCGCGACCTCTAGGATGAAGCCATGTTGCAGGCGTGGGTGGGTTGATTCTAGGAACTTGAATTGTGAGAAGAGACAAGACGTTTGGAAATGAGTGACAAACGGTTACTCACCAGTGACTCACGGTCTGCCCGTACCGGGCCGCACCAGGGTCGCAAACGGGTACCCGTACCCGTACCCGGTCGGGTACGGGTAGCCGGGTATCGGGTAGGGTACGGGTATCGGGTACTCGGTTGCGACCTCTGGTTCAGCGACTCACCCTGCCCACGCACACACCCCTCACCACCTGGATGGCAATCCCTATTCATTCTATGATTTAGAAACGGTTGCTTAAAGCACCTTGCAAATGTTAGAGTGAATAAGTGACCAATAAGCCCAATTTTACGGTCAAAGGTAAAGCTTTACACACGCAATTTCCACCTTGGTCTTACAAACTACACAAATTACTCCACTTGGTTATCCAGACATGTATACAGTTGAGCCCCTTAAGTAGGGATCTGAAACCCATTTCATCCCATTTCATTTAAATACTACAATGTATATTTGAGTTCAACCTAATGTAAAAACAAAAATCATACCACATTTATTCCTGTGTTTATTAGACGTGTAATGTTTCACCCCCTCCACGAGTGATTTGATAAAATGTGCTGATTTGGAGTCACGATCCTATTCAAGACAAATGAATTCTATCTCATTTGCATTGTTGTTTGCAATGTTTCAAATGTACAACTTTGTTTACTCTGTCAGCCTAAACGTAGCATCGGCGCACCATTTGCGTGCCGTTTACATATCGTTTGAAAACATGGTCCATAACCGATCCTTACACGCGCGCGATTCTGCGCACGCGTCATGAGCGCGTAAGAGCCAGACGTCGAATCGACGCGCCGGTTGACGCGCCGGTTGACGCGAAACCGTTTGTGTCTTGACAGGGAGAACGCGCTGGACAATGCCGACAAGGTGGAGCGACACAAAGAGGAGAAGAGCAGAAGCAAGAGGGAGGAGAAAAAGCGCAAGCACGCCGAGGATGTGGGCAACAAGGGGAGTGAGCCAAAGCCCGCGGAGAACAAGTCCGGGTGGTCGGAGCGACCGCCAAAAAAAGCCAAATCGGACGTCGTCACCGCCGAAGATGAGGAGAAGCGCAAAAGGACAGTGTTTGTCGGCAATTTGCCGATGAGCCTCGCGAAGGAGGTAAACTTATTCGCGAGCTCTTGTTCGGTTTGTACTGCTCCGCTCTAATGTGCACCGATGCCTACTTTGAGGGCGAATTTGGCACGTGAAATAATGATCAATTGATTGATTAAGAAGCTGTCGCTTCACCGGTGCAGGTTCGCTGACCTTTGAGCGCTGCTGCTGCTGCTGCTGCTGCTGCACCGCGGTGTGTTTCAGGCTGTAAAGAAGTTCTTCCGGCCGTGCGGGGTGATCGAGTCTGTTCGCCTGCGATGCATTGTGAGTACAAAAGAATCGGCGATGTCCACCTGCTTACCCGGCTCTCTTCGTTGCGTTGAGCGCCCTTTACGTGTGCGCCTGCAACGATTCGCCGCCCTCCTCTTGATTTGTCACCAACCATTCAGGGGGTCAGGATGAGGTTTAAGAATCGATTTTTTTTGTTTAAACCTTTTGAGTTATTGTAGCAGCGTTTCCTATCTCCAATCCTAACTCCTGTCCTCGCGACCACACCAGAGTCCAGCTTTCCGTCATTACCAACCACCAGGTGCATGCAGTGCTAATTGATTTTCCATTTAACTTTTTTTACGTGTATCCAGGAAAGCCTCTTAGACACTTTTCAGGAGGGTCCTGCTCAGTTTCACAGTAGGGGGCGGTGATTTCTATGTGTTTATCCCCATTTGGAATATTTTTTGATTGCCAATTTATCAAATTTTGCAAATATGGACCGTGACGCTCGCGCATGGCGGCCGACTCTTTTTCAAATGACGTCACCGTATCGTAACCGTCCACCGCGGAGCGGACGGTGCGCATTGCCGCCATCAATACCATGCTGCAGTATTAACCAGGGCGGTCATTGAGCTCGAACCCCCGCGCACCTCCGCGACGAGCGACGGACGCGCGACCTAACCGCTCGGCCACGTCGCCGCGCCACGAGTAGAAACGACCGGTAATCGGGAAAACCCGGAGGAGCGTGGCAGGGCTGTGAACACAGGAGTAGTGGAGAATCATTGCTCTCGTGGTTCTATCGGTCGCGTGAACCGATTGCGTTAAAACACGAGCTCAAAGATAATCGATTCACGTGCACACGACTCGTTGCATATACTGTGAGCGAATCGATACGAATCGACGCATTCTTACTCTGTCGACTTTTCGTCCCTTGTGAATGACTCGGTGGTGAAACATTGTACTTCTTTATTGCAGGCACGAGCCGATCCCGACATGTCACTCAGGCAGGCCGCCATACAGTAAGCGCACATGCGGGTGCACGCACAATCACACCCGTTCATTCGGTGTGTTCGTTGAAGCCTTGCAATGTGTTGGGCCGGAGTGTTGGGGAGCTACTTGTGGCTGTACAAACGTAGCAACCCGCAGGTTGCGCTTCGGCGGCCGTCTGGAACGCTGTTCCTTCCGATATTAGGAAGCCACTGGAGCTGTGCACTTTTAAATCATCATCATCATCATCTAGATTGAAACCTCATTTCTTCAGGACTGTTTTTTTGTTTAAGTGTGTTGTCCTTCCTCCGGCACTTACGATTAGCACAGTCGGCTGCGTACGGTGCGAAAGAAGTTAAACGTAAATACGTACATACGTGCAACTCGCTGCTACCTTGTACAGTAAAACCTTGGATTGCGAGTAGCTTGGTCTGCGAGTGTTTTGCAAGACGAGCAACATTTTTAAATAAATATGAATTTGTTAAACGAGCGAGGTCTTGCAATACGAGTAGTACGTGTATACGCTTTGTCTGCCGAGCGTCACGTGATCACAACTGATATACTAGTGCTTTGGATTACAAACACGGAACGAATTCTGCTCGCAATCCAAGGTTTTACTGTATATTAATCTGCATCTGTGTTGCCTCGTCAGAGGAAAAACGCATCCCCAGAGGAACAACAAGAATGCCTACGTGGTCTTCAAGGAGGAGCAGGGGGCTGTGCAAGCGCTGAGCAGGTGTGTACGTGTACGTTGAACCTCTTTCGCACCGTACATAGCCAACCGTGCTAATCGGAGGTGCGGAGGGAAGGACAACAAACGGAGGTCAGTTCGGATGTGCACGTGGCTTGCTCACGTGCGCGGCCCCTCTTTGTCGTTCCGCTGCTGGATGAGGGCCTCCTTGCCACGCCGTGTGGATCGGCGGGGGTGGTTATTTGACCGCGCGCTTGTCGGTGTCGGTTGGTGATGGCTAGGAGCATAGCTGTGGGAGGATAGGTTCAAGTTCATTTATTAGGTATAGCCCTGTGAGCCATTCGGCTCTTGAATCGGGTGCAACCGCAACAAACAAAAACATGAACAAGAAAACATCTTAAAGTGAATATGTGACTAAGTGCAAACAGAAAATCCAAGAAAAGACAGCAAAATATTGCAGAAGTACTGTACAACGATTGTTTCTTTCTGCGCTGCCGTCTGTTAACGGACTCATGGCCACACGACCGATAACGACCAGTTGTGTACGCTGGTCACTCGTCCAAGTACAAGGATGCAGACGCAACCCAACTTAGCTTCCCAAATCGACTTATTGTACAGATCCAAACGTATTACCTTGATTTATACAGGTCTGAAGTGCAAAGTTATACGTTGCAGTTTCATACCAAATCGTACTGGGGCCACACTCGGATTTTTGCATAACACGTCAATGCACAGCATAACCAAAGCTAATGGGGGTGCGTGTGTTCGTTTGCATGCTTGTGTGTGCGCGCACATGTGCTTCCGTGTGTCGCAGAAACGGAGAGGAGATACAGAGTGGATTTCACATACGAGTAGATGCAGCGTCTGGAGAAAAAAATGTAAGTTTATTTTTTACACTCGCCGTTAAATACCAAGCGAAGCCTGTTTAACACACACGGGTTAACGGTAAACACATTTGAATGAGACGTGCAAGTGTTCCTTGCGTTTTCGCGATATGTTTAAACGCTTTGGGTTAATTTCTTGATGGTTTCCGTTTTTCACAGCATGACCACAAGAGGTCGGTGTTCATCGGAAACCTTCCCTACGGTACGGCTCCCAAGTGAACGTTGCACGGCAGCGGCGTTTGTGCGCGCGCACGCGTGCGTGTGTGTCTCTGCAGCTTAACGATGAACATGGTCACCTGAAATTCGATTCCCAGCCCACAGCGCAAGGGGACGGCTCGCGTTATAAACAGCGTTATGGTTGGCGGTGGGCTTTGAAACCTGGCGAGTGGTTTGCGCGACTAGCCGTGAACCCGGTAACCCGAGTTCCCGTTCCCGGCTACGGTCGGGGCGAGTGATACCCAAACCGGTCCCGGCAGGGGTCGGCGGCCAAAATGAGGAGGAGCCCAATTTTTTTTCGAATTCGTAACAAAATCAACATATCCAAGAGCTGCAGCGCACTGTGTGGTGAATAGGAGACGGTCGTCCTTAATAAACCAACGTCACGAAGCGGCCCTTGAAGAGCCGCATGCGGCTCCGGGAGCCCCAGGTTGCCGAACCTTGGGTCCTTTGTTTTCCGACGACCCACCCTCACCAGCCCAGGCCGACCAATGTGGCGAAGTATGGTCGGACAACCCCCATGACAGTGTGGGCGAGGCGTTCATCCAGCAGTGGATTGACAAAGAGGCTGTACATTTAATTGGTTATTTCGGTAAAGTCACGCAGAAGGGAATTTTTTTTTTCTTCAAATTTTCTTGCAGTGGTTTTCACAGCTGATGATGATTGCTTGTGTTGCAATCGAAACGTCGTGAAAATTGTACTGTTTTATTGTTATTATTTTATTGTTTTTCTCTTCTACGTGACTTTACCGAAAGAACCAAGAATATGAATCCCTGCAGTCACGAAAGCTTTAAATCGAAATTACTATCTTGACGTTGCTTAAATTGTCGTAATTTTGCACCGTGTGGCAGGGGCTGCAGCGCTGGAGAAACAAACTGGCACTTGGCTCTGCAAGTCAGAGTTGATTAAAAATCGGTTTAGACTTAGGCTTTATTGCGACTGATCCACAATACCTTGCTGATCTCGTCAAGGAGTATATATCACGACGTGAACTCCGGTCATCCTCACAGCGGCTTTTGGCTAACCATCGAACAAAGCCATTCACTGTATCGTGCGCTTTCAGATGCGCTTCTGCGGCCGTCTGGAACGCTCTTCATTCCGATATTAAGAAGTCACTGGAGCTATGCACTTTTAAATCATCATCATGATTGAAAACTCATTTCTTTACAACTATTTCTTGTGTTTAGTTTGTTCTTCCACCACACCTCGTATTAGCACGGTTGGCTACGTACAGTGCGAAAGAAGTTTAACATACGTACAAAAATAAAGCAAAGCAATATGGGGATGTATGTACGTGTGTATGTATGTTGAAAACCTTTCACACCGTATGTAGCCAACCGTGCAAAAATCGCAGGTGGGATGTCACGTGACATTTGAAGAATATGACGACAAAACAACTTTGCTTACCATTTAAAGGTTTCTCCATTTACCCTTCAGCTGGTGGTGTGCCTGTGTGCGTGTGATGTTTGCACCAAGCAGACGTGGAGGAGGACCGAATCAGGAGCCACTTTGAGCCGTGCGGTCCCGTCGAGTCGGTGCGCGTGGTACGCGACCGGGATTCCGGCATGGGCAAGGGCTTCGGCTACATCCTCTTCAAGGTACAGGACGACCTCCCGGCACAGGTTGGCCGGGCAACTCGGAAGGTCGGGCGCTGAGCTGAGCCGGGAACCGCTGAAGAAAACTTGCTTCGATTCTTGATTTCAACCGCGTGTTGATTAACGTGTCCGGGGGAGTTGATGTTCTCGGACCGGTCGCCGGTGACACGCTCACAACGGAGATGTTCCATCTCAATGCATTTTTCAGGGGAAATATTTTAATTTCCAAAAAGTTAACGGCGACCCTAAGATGCTCGTAGTAAACTTGCATCTTCTTGGATCATTCGGTAAAGTCACGTAGAAGGGAAATAATAAAATAATATAAATAAAAAACATAAAAATTCTCACGACGTTTCGACTGCAACACAAGCAATCATCATCAGGTTTGAAATCCACAGCAAGAAAAATTTTTGCTGTCGATTTCACACCTGAAATCCACACCTGATGATGATTGCTTGTGTTGCAGTCGAAACGTCGTGATAATTTTTATTGTTTTATATTTTTATTATTTTATTATTTCCCTTCTACGTGACTTTACCGAAAGAACCAAGAATATGAATCCCTGCAGTCACGAAAGTTTTTTAAATAAAAATTTTAACTTGCATCGATAACTTGTAGACTTACGCAGACATCCATAGACTCCTGTCGACCGAGTTGGGATTAAACCGGGTTCTCAATTACAGTGGGTTAATGCTCTCAATTCACTTTCATTTGACAAAATTCCAAGTACTGACAGTTTAAAATATAATTTTGGCTCTTTTACGCGATTAACCTGAATCTCACATGGCAACGCGAGTGGGAAAGCGCCGCCCTTACTGCGTTGTAACAGAGGTCGCTTGCATGAAGTCCACTTTCGTGGGGCCATTCTCTAACAGCGGGTTGCTCTGCGATCCCCTCGCTCCAGGGCGCCGACGCAGTGCTGTTGGCGCTACACCTGGACGGCTCCGAGATGGCCGGGCGGAAGGTGCGGGTGAAGCGCTCCGTCAAAAAGGAGAAGATCAAGCCGGGGAGGGCTGGCCGCCCGGCGAACTCCAGGCGGCCAGGGAATTCCGGCAAACCAGGCAACGCCGGAAAGGCAGGCAACGCCGGAAGGCCGGGGAACTCCGGGAGACTGGGGAAACCGGGGATTTCCGGGAGACCGGGGAATGCTGTGAGGCCAGGGAACGCCGGGCCGAAGGGGCGCGGTGACCTATTGCCGCCAGCGGCCAAAGCAGCCACCTGGCAGCCCAAGGGGCCCAGGAACTTTATGGGCGAAATGGCCGAGAAGCCGGTGAAGAAACCCAAGGTGAGAAGCAAGCCCGGCCAGAGCAAGGTGAACAAGAAGGGCAAGCTGGGTCGGCCCGCAAAGAAATAACCGCCATGGGGGGGGGGGGGGGGGGGTCGTCGGGTGTTTCAGCACATGTGGAGCATCTTATCATGGGCTTGATGTAGGAAAATGTTCGGATCGTTTTTTGATGAAATAAAAAAGCTAACGTCGTATTTGTCCGGTGCTTGTTTTACACTACGCATGCGTAAGCGTTTTTATATATACAAGTAATTATTATACGGGATGGAGTAGTTAGTGTACCGCTGCTGGATGAAGGCCTCCTTTGGTCAAAAAGGTATACTTCACCACGCTGGTCTGTGTGGGTTGAAGAGGAGGGGAGAAGCGTGAAGATTTTATCTTTACAAATATTTAATTCCCAGCCTATCTGTTGTAATGTCCTTAGCGATACAAATTCATTCGAAGATTATCTAAAAGTCCAGCCCGTTGTCAGTCCACTGCCAGATGAAGGCTGTCCCCGGGAGAAGGAGACCCAGGACCGACTCGGACATCGCTCACCACTCGTGTAACCAACCCGTCCCACGGTTTCAAACTCGGGCCGCCGGGTTCATAGCGCAGCGCCTTAAAACATTTCTCCATTTTCCAGTGGAGGTGCTGAATCCGCAAACGGCGGCGTTGGAGGTCTCAAAGCCCCCAGCGCACTTGAACAGCCGTGCCCGGGTTGCCCTGGAGGAGGAGGCGTTTTGGCCGCACAGCTGCGACGGCGGAAATCCCGGAAAACGATGCGAGGGTTCTTTTAATTACTAAGGGGCCGTCCATAAATGACGTCACGCGATTTTGGACGATTTTTGACCCCCCCCCCCCTTCATCACACGGCGTCACAAAGTCAGACCCCCCCCCTCAAATATGACGTCACAAAGCTTTGCCCCCCCCCCAAAAAAAAACATGCTTCAAATCGCTTTAAATTATTGTCATTGTAGTGCGTATTTAATGTGGCGCTGCACTCTAATGTAGGAGAAAACATTTCTTAAAAGTTATATTTAATGAAGTAGAACGTGTTGTCTATATTTAAAGTTGCGCATTGTGATGTGACGTCACATTTATCACCCCCCCCCCCCCCATCGTCACACAGTCACAAATGTCTGACCCCACCCTAGGATGCGTGACGTCATTAATGGACGGCCCCTCAGTTTTTGGATAAATTAATCGGCGTTAGCAGATGCGCCGCTCAGCAGTGTTGTGCCTTGTTTGCTCGTCACCTCCGCTGTGGGTGGAGGCTTTCGTCTGCCAAGGATCAGAATCCTTCAGACTGCAGGAGGAATCCAATGAGCGATGAAGCGCCTTGTCACGGCTGTCCAGCGTGCTGGGGTCGGCAATGAAGCCGAGCCGAGTTGGGTCCTCTGTCCTTGGTGCTGGGACATTGGACTTGGTGAATTAGCTAAAGCCAACCCTGGGGGGTGGGGTGGCACGTGCCCCCCCCCCCCCCAATGATCTGATCGAAAGCCCAAATGTCGATCAGATCATTGGGGTTTATTAGTAATAAATCGGCATTTGGCGACCCCCACTGCCACTGTGTAGCATATTATGATGTGCCAGGGACTCTGAGATGATAGGACAATAGTCTGAGTCCATAATTGGCAACAAGTAACGGCAAAGCAGTTATAAGTGACTTAGAATTGTGCGCAGTTGCGTGTACAGCACACGACTTCCCTCGATGATGACTGCGCCATCACCGCACACGCGTCGAATAAAAAGCAAGGGACCAGTCCTTACTTGCTAACAACTCCTCTATCATTTTTCATTGCTGGACGGGTTGCCCCCCCCCCTCTACCTGAAAATCCTGGCTCCGCCATTGGATGCAAGTTGCCTATTGTAATTGATTGTTAATTTGTTGGGTTAATGTGTTGCCGTGTTATGGTAACTTCCCTGACTGAGTGTCAGGAGTGTCCAAGTAAAGGGCACTTTGTCAGTCCACTGTTGGAGGAGGGCCTTAGCACACGCCACGTGCATGACTTCTGGTCATACTTCACCGGTCAGTGCTGGTCGAAGGCGGGTAGCGTAGCCATGGGAACAACAATAGATGTTGCTGCACTATCAACTATATGTAACACGGAGGCTTACGCGACAAATATTGTTCATAATGAAGGTTTTTTTTTGGGTTAGATTGCGTAAGCTTAAATTTGTCGTGACCCTCCACCACCCGACAGCCAATCGGTAAGGGATTTGTCACGTCAACAAAATGCGCAAAACACGTTCCTTCGGAGTGGGCAGGTAGGAACTTGGTTGGACAGCGCATTCGTGCACGACAGACACATGCACGACAGACAAATAATCCCTGGTGGGCAGTGTGGAACCTGTTGTTCCTACCTGTATTAGTTACTGCTTCAGCCCACCAGTGTGTTGGAGAGTAATTCTACAACATTTACAATTTGAGTAGTGCGACGTTTCGCTGGTAATTACATCCAGCATCATCGGGCGATTTGCCAGAATAGTGACGCAACCCACGTGCTTCCGGTCTTAAATAGAGCAGCAGCATGACGTCATCACCTGAACCCATCAGGTGCAAAGATCAAAGGGGGGGGGGGGTATTGTAATTATATAATATATTATTAATCTTAATTAGTATGTGTTTCCTCTATTAATGATTTGTAATTGTAAGATGTCTTCTTCTTCCACGCGTTTGTCCCACTCTTGTGGGGTCCGCTGTTTTTCTGCCTTCCTCTTGAGGAAGCGTCGTCGTGTGGTGGAGGGTTACGACACAATTCAACTTCACTATTCTGGCAAATCGCCCGATGGTGCTGGATGTAATTACCAGCGAAACGTCGCATTACTCAAATTGTAAATGTTGTGGGGTTACTCTCCAACACACCGGTGGGCTGAAGTAGTAACTAATTGGTGTTTTGTTGACGTGACAAATCCCTTACTAATTGGCTGTGTCGGGTGGTGGAGGGTTACGACATATTTATACTTATGCGATCTTACCCAAAAACCTTTATTACGACCAAAAACCTGTATTATTAAAACACTATGTTTGTATGTAAAGGAAAAGTACTCAGATAAATGTGAAATCTGAGCAAATCAAATAATTTTCACTTGTTTCAACATTTTCAGCATGTTCTGATATGCTCCAAATTGTGAAAACTGATTTTACTCGTGAGATGTTCCAGATATTTTCAAGTCAATTTCGTTAAATTCATCATCAGCCATGATCAATCCACTGCTGGATGAAGGCCTCCCCTAAACTGTCAGCAACTGTCGCTATTTTCCCTGTCCTGCAATGCAGCAAACTATTCAGAATGCACACGAGTTGATTTCATCGTTCCATCTCCCAATAGGACATCGTTTCAGGCGCGTTGTCAAATTTGCCCCAAATTTATTTAATTTTACTATTTAACTATCTGACTTTTTATTTTACCAGATAAGGCCCACTGAAGTATATCGCTCTTCCTCATAAGCGACCTAGCCACAAATGAGAGCCCAATGAAGTGGCTTATGTGGAAATTTGATGTGCGTATGAATGTTCAGCTTATTTCGCAACGTACATAACTAACCATGCTAATCGGTGGTGCGGAAAAAGAACAACAAACTAAACACAACAAATGTATTCCAAAAGAAATTCGTTTGAAATAAATGAGTTCATAGCAACCAAATACTCTAAACGCATGTTTCTAAATGTGGAGGGAAAACCCGGATGGCTTGGAGAATAAAATCCACACACGACCACGAGGAGAGAGACCTGCAAACTCCAAACACACAGGCGTCAGGGTAGGGATCGAACCCACGACCTCCTGCATACCAGGCGAGGTAGTGAACATCTCCTAGCCACCGTGATGATGATGAGAGAGAGAGAGAGACACAAACTCCAAATATACAGCAGGCGTCAGGGTCTGGGTCCGAACCCACGACCTCCTGCATACCAAGCGAGGTAGATGACGTCTCCTAGCCACCGTGATGATGATGAGAGAGAGAGAGACGCAAACTCCAAATATACAGCAGGCGTCGGGGTCCGAACCCACGACCTCCTGCACACCAGGCGAGGTAGTGAACATCTCCAAGCCACCCCGGCATCAATCCGCTGCTGCGTCTCGGTCGCCTCGCGTCGCACTCGCCCGCTGTGCTCTGCTCGCAGCGTCGGGGCCACGCTAACCCCGGGGGCACCCACGCACGAGGACGTCGTGAGCGAGCGAGCGACAACAACGTTTGGTGCGAGCAGCGTGCGAGCCTGGCAGGGGGTCGTCAACCCCTTCGCTTTGTAGTCCCGCATGGGCTGGAGGGGGTGGGGGGAGCTGTGGGACATGGCAGAAGTGGCGAGGGGCGGTGGAGAGGGGACGGGGTTATGATTCAAGGGGCTGTTGGCGAGGGGCTTCGGGGATGGATGCCAGATTTGGAATAAGCACCCCAAAATGACCTTATGCCAGACAAAGTGTGTTGACCAGTGATAATCGTTGAGTAGGCCGGGTGGCTCAGAGGTCGGAGTGCTGATCCGGCACCGCTTAGATCCTGCGTTCGAGTCTAGGTTTCAGCCACTGCCCGTGATCAAATCGCCTTTTCAAGTGTAGTGGGCTCGTGGTCTCATCCCGGTGACCAACGCCTGCACAAACAAACCATCGCATTAGGTTTCGTGTCTGCACTTAATCTGGTTAAATTCCAACTCTGAGAACGAATCTATCGGTTTGGCTTAAATCGAGATTGAAAACTCCTTCCCCTGCCCCTCCGATTAGCGCGGTTGGCGAAATCACTCTTTGGTTCTTTCGGTAAAGTCACGGAGAAATTAAATTAAATAATAATAGAATACGACGTTTCGATTGCAACACAAGCAACCACCATCAGGTACAAATGAATGAGACAACAAACATAGTAAACTTGGAAATATAATGCAATACAACACAGAGATTCGGCCAACACAAGTCAACACCCCACCTGGTTGAATACATTCTTCTAAAGATTGCTAAATTTGAGAGAGAGACAACACACAGACACGGAGACACACAGACATACATACAAGCAGAGAGAGAGAGACTCACACAGAGACAAACAGAGAGAGACACACACAGGCACACAGCGAAATAAATTCAACATGTTCTTGGTTCTTTCGGTAAAGTCACGTAGAAGGGAAATAAT